TACTCATCTCATATTTTGTGTTATTTTCTTAAGAAACACCTTAGATAATTGTATTTTGGTTGGACTATAGAAATATTTGGAGCACAAGTTAATTATATATTTGTATGCAAACTTTATCGAAAAAATCCAAAAATCTGAAAAAATCCGAGGTTTATTAGTTTGGTTTGATTTATAAATTTAAAAATTCGACACAATGGTTTGGTTTGGTATTTGAAAAACCCTAACCAACCCGAGGTTGAAAAACTCGAAAAAATCCGAATTTTATTAGTTTGGTTTGATTTATAAATTTAAAAATTCGACACAATGGTTTGGTTTGGTATTTGAAAAACCCTAACCAACCCGAGGTTGAAAAACTCGAAAAAATCCGAATTTTATTAGTTTGGTTTGATTTATAAATTTAAAAATTCGACACAATGGTTTGGTTTGGTATTTGAAAAACCCTAACCAACCCGAGGTTGAAAAACTCGAAAAAATCCGAATTTTATTAGTTTGGTTTGATTTATAAATTTAAAAATTCGACACAATGGTTTGGTTTGGTATTTGAAAAACCCTAACCAACCCGAGGTTGAAAAACTCGAAAAAATCCGAATTTTATTAGTTTGGTTTGATTTATAAATTAATTTTTTTAAAACAAATGGTTTAGTTTGATATTTGAAAAATCCGAACCAACCCGGTCATGTACACCCCTAATAATAATAGCAACTACAAAAAAACCTGCTATACCATATTTATGTGCTGATAGCGTAGATTTCAAAGCAATTTGCTTTACACACAAGCAAATTAAAGGCTCCAATTATTCCAATTTGAAAATATTTTAAGAAACATCAGTTTAAGTAGAAACGTACCTACAAACCAATAAGTAATGCCAAAAGTTCATAAATTTTGTAAGTGATGTTTTATAAGGGGCGAGGAAAGGTTTTAGCAGCAAAATCAAAAAATAAACTGAGATATATTTTTTTACTTGGGTATATCTAGAGAAGCATAAGTTCTTCCGAAACTGATTTCATATCCGACATAACTTATGAGATATTACATGAAAATATACACTGAAGTCCTCCATCCCACCCCTCCAAAATATTATTTATTATGAGAAGCAAAAATAAAAAATTAACGAAGTATAAATATCGAAATAAATATCCCAACAACTTTTATTTCCAGGTATTTCACATATTATAAAAGCATGAAATGATACCATATTATCTCTTAGCTGTTTCAACTATACTATCACTGTGACATCATTTGATTGAATTAATATCTATATAGTTAGGTTTTTTTCCCTTTGTAAAATGTACGATATACCCTAATTTGACAATGCATGAAAAGTCAACAAGCAATTTATTTTTGATTGAAAATAAAATAAATTGACCCTCAATTATCTCGTACAAATATTCTTTACAAGCTCACACATTATATTATAAGCTACATGCATAAAAAGCCAAAAACCAATTTATTCTTAATTGAATATAAAAAAAATTGGCCCTCAATTATCTCGTACAAATATTCTTTACGAGCTCACACATTATATTGTAAGCTACACGCATGAAAAGTCAACAAGCAATTTATTCTTAATTGAAAATAAAATAGAATTGGCCCTCAATTATCTTGTAAGAATATTCTTTACAAGCTCACACATTGTATTGTAAGCTACATGCATGAAAAGTCAAAAAACAATTTATTCTTAATTGAAAATAAAATTAAATTGACTCTTAATTATCTCGTACGAATATTCTTTACAAGCTCACACATTATATGGTAAGCTACGTGGATGAAAAGCCAACAAACAATTTATTCTTAATTGAAAATAAAATAAAATTGACCCTCAATTATCTCGTACAAATATTCTTTACAAGCTCGCACATTATATTGTAAGCTACACACATGAAAAGGCAACAAGCAATTTATTCTTAATTGAAAATAAAATAAAATTAATGGCCCACAATTAACTTGCACGAATATTCTTTACAAACTCACACATTGTATTGTAAGATGAGCCTCCTTCACTTAGTGCATTTTCTGCACTTAGCTTTAATTTCTTAACATTTTCCCTTATACTCTTCTCTTCTTTTGTATGCATTAAAATCCTTACCATTTCTTGAATCTCCTCTCTCTTCACCAATTTCTTTGTCGGCAAAATCATCGGTCGAATCGCCACCCCTAACTCCTCCGTGAGCATGGTTGAGTTCATTTTTTGTTCGGCATGTAATGGCCACGCAATCATAGGAACCCCACTAGTAAGGCTCTCAATCGTCGAATTCCATCCACAATGAGAAATAAATCCACCAACAGACAAATGACTCAAAATTTCAACTTGTTGGGCCCACATAGGAACTACTAGGCCCATATCTTTTGTCCTAGTTAAAAAACCCTTCGGTAAGTATTCCAACGAGCCATCTGTATCGTTTTCATTGGAGTTTAAATATGCACTATCTGTACCATTATCGGATGGTGGACGTACTACCCAAACAAATTTGTGCTGACTTAACTCCAAACCCCATGCAAGTTCAATTATCTGTTCAGATGAAAGGGTTCCACCACTTCCAAATGATACATATAGAATTGACTTTTGATTTTGCTTGTCTAACCATTGAATCACCTGTTTGAAAATATAAACGAAAGGACAATTATTTGGACTTGAACTATGCATGTATAAAATTGATTATAATAGTCTTGATTTCTCGTATGGTCACCTAATTAGTTATTATCTTAGAAAATTACTTTCTATATTAAAATAAAAAAGAAATATTACATTCTCAGCTAATAGCTATTAGTTAAATGATTATTTCAGAAACCATTTTATCAGAAGCTAAGTGTTTTCGGAGTAGATGAAGAAAAATATTTGATACTCCACTAATTAATACAGATTTTTCTGCAAATTAAAGTAACTAAACAACAAGTAATGTAACAATTCATTTCATTTGAAGACACGACTTAAAAAACAAACTATGTATATAATTTAAACAAAGTCTAATATATTACCTCATCATGTTCAGTTATGTCAACTGTTCTCCTCAAGGGACCAATTGGGTAAATTGGACAACGTGGAACTGATTGCAACTTTTCATTACTTCGAAGCGCTTTAATAGTCTCACCCTCTAACTCTTCCCATGTATTAGTCAAAATTCCATCAAAACACGTATATTCCATTGCTAGCTTAAGTTACTCATGATATTGTTGATTGCTCCGATCCATCATGGGATCCATCACATCATCCGGTCGTAACGCTTTGCAACCCGGAATTTCCAAAGGTTGTTTAAGATCAACATATTCGCCTTCAATTTCTTGGTCAAGAACTTGTTGGTACATAAATAACGCTAATGACCATGCATTAGTAGGATGGAAAACATATTTAGGAATGTTAAATTCTTCGGCTATGGGTAATATTTGTGTGCCAAAAATGTCGACAATGAGAGCATCTAGACGATGGTTCATTGAAGCTATGCCTGAATGAATTTCAGGCAAAGCTTCGCGAACCAATATACGTAATTGAGTGAAAAGTTTAGTACTGGAATCAATTAGGTGGGTGTTGAGAAATACATATCTTGTACATATATTCTTGTATATTCAGTTTCCATATTAGTAGATCGAATCCCATTAATTGGGGATCACGATTTCTTACCTAAAGCTAGGCTAGATTGATTTGTATTAAGCTGTATATATATCGGATTGTGAATAAAGAAACTTACTTCAGCAAAATATATTGTTTTCTCTTCTTTTCCAAGATGGTATTAGAGCTTGATCAATCCAAAAGTCCAAACACTAGCAATAAGAGTAACGATATGAATTCATCAAATCCATATTTTCTTCAACATTCAGATCATCCCAGCCTCATGCTTGTTCCAATCAAGTTGAATGGGATCAATTATCCATCCTGGAGCAAATCAATGATACATGCTCTCACAGCCAAAAACAAACTATCGTTTATTGATGGATCAATTGAACCGCCATCGGAAATAGATAAGCCAACAGAGTATGCGTTGTGGAATCAATGCAATAGTATGATTTTATCATGGCTTGCTCACTCGGTGGAACCGGATCTAGCTAAAGGAGTCATCCATGCCAAGACGGCTCACCAAGTATGGCAAGATCTTAAAGATCAATTTTCTCAAAAGAATGCACCAGCAATATATCAGATTCAAAAATCATTGGCTTCACTCTCACAAGGTAACATGAACATTTCTTCCTATTTCACAAAACTCAAAGGTCTTTGGGATGAGTTAGATACATTTCGAACATTTCCCACTTGCAATCAAATTAAAGCACACACCGATCAAATTGAAGAAGACCGTGTAATGCAATTTCTAATGGGTCTTAATGATATCTATAATGTTGTTCGATCTAATATTCTCATGATGTCTCCCCTACCTAATGTACGCCAAGCATATTCACTTGTTATTCAAGAAGAAACACAGAGACAAATGACGTCGGAATCAACAGAAAGTTTCTCTATTGCGGCTGCAGTTCAAAGGCGTACCAATAGTTTTTTCAATAAATCCAGGATAAGCATTGTGAGCATTGCAATCGAGAAGGACACACAATTGAGAATTGCCGCACTCTGAAATTTCATTGCAAGCATTGTAATAGAAAAGGTCATACAGAGGATAGATGTAAGTTTAAAAATGGCACTTGGTCTCCCAACAACTCAGGAAGCCAAAATAATCGACAACAACGCGGATCTCAAGGTAATCCTTCTCATGTTGCTAATGTAATAGACACTCATCAATCTAAGAATGAGATTCACTCGCAAGATTCCAATGGTTCACATGGATTTTCAGCAGAACAACTCCAACAGATTGCTCAGGCAGTAAGTTTGTTCACGCAAAAGAATAATTCTGCCGGTAATAGCGATGCCTATGCAAATGCAGCAGGTCTATCTCTTTTTCATAATGTTTCAATTAATTCTGCATTCACTAGGCCATGGATCTTGGACAGCGGAGCAACTGATCACATTACTTTCGATTCCACATTCTTTACTCAAACAAAATCTCCATCTATACCCATTGTCAATTTACCCAATGGGTCACCTGTATCAATTCATTCCACCGGAACAATACCTTTTAACTCAGATATTACCTTAAACAATGTTTTACATGTTCCCTCTTTTCGATTAAATTTAATGTCTGTTAGCAAACTCACTAATGACTTAAATTGTTGTGCCCTTATGTTTCCCACTTTTTTTGTATTACAGGACTTGGCTACGGGGAAGATGATTGACTCGGGTAAGCATCATGCTGGTCTCTATTACATGTCATCAGTACAGAAACCACCCATTTCTCATCAAGTTTCACAACCAAAAGATTTATGGCACATGCGTCTAGGACACCCATCACCTTCTCGCCTTAGATTAATTGCTCCATTATTACCTTCTCGTAATGTTTCCTTTGATAATAATTGTGATGTTTGTCCTTTGGCTAAACAGACACGTCTTGCATTTCCGTTAAGTAACATATCTACTCGTTCTCCATTTGACTTATTACATTGCGATGTTTGGGGTCCACATCGAGTACCTACTGATTCAGGGGCTCGTTTCTTTCTTACTATCGTGGATGATTTTACAAGATGTACTTGGTTATTTCTTATGAAATACAAGTCTGAAACTTCTCATATTTTGCAATCCTTTATATCATTCACTAAAAACCAATTTCATGCCTCAGTTAAGAAAATTAGGACAGACAATGGAAAAGAATTTGAACCAATGAATTTTTTTTTCACTCTCATGGAATTGAATACCAACGAACTTGTGTTTTCACTCCACAACAAAACGGGGTAGTTGAACGCAAACATCATCATATTTTAAATGTTGCACGAGCTTTACGTTTTCAAGCTCACTTGCCAATCACCTTTTGGGGTGAATGTGTTTTGACTGCTGTCTATATTATTAACCGATTACCAACTCCATTGTTACATTCTAAGTCTCCTTATGAATTGCTATATCATAAACCACCATCCCTTAGTCACCTAAAAGTTTTTGGTTATTTGTGTTATGCTACTGTTGTTAAACATAAACAAAAGTTTGATTCTCGAGCCAAACGCTCCATCTTTGTTGGTTATCCTACTGGTCAAAAAGGTTATAAGATTTATGATCTGAAAACCAAACAATTTTTTGTAAGTCGTGATATCAAATTTTCTGAAACAATCTTCCCTTTTAGTTCAGTTACACCAACTTCGACCTCATTCTCACCTCAATCCTCTTCTAGTATATTTGACAATTGGTCCTCTCCATCATCTGTCATAAAAGATGTCTCATCTCCTCAACCACAATCTATCCGGAGAGTAGAATCTCATGAACCCAGAATTA